ATAGATAGATAGATAGATAGATAGATAGATAGATAGATAGATAGATAGATAGATATATAGATAGATAGACAGATGGATAGGTAAACTGGTTACCTCATAGGCTTGAACAGGGCCTGACCTTCGTCTTCAAAGGTAATTATCAGCTTAATCTGGGTACCACCTTCCTTTTGTTCTATAGAAAAACAGAAGAAACAAATTGAGTAGTTAGTATTAAGTAATATTTTGATTAAAAGGGATTATAGCAAATATCATATAATAATATAATATTTATACATTACGAAAACCATCGAAACCCCGGCGCATGGAGGGGTAAAGGCAGCAAGCAGGTGTACACTTGATTTGGCTAACAGTCTGAAAGAATGGCGTGTAACAAAACGGGAAGTTGGGCTTGGCTCCCTCTGTTCTAAAGAACATTGAAAGAGTGAAAACTTGCAGAATATTCGAGTAATATCCTTCTTTCCTTTTAAAAAAAATCTCTTCAGCAGGTCAAAGTCAGTCCAGCCGTCCCACACCTTAACACCACTATCCAAACACCGTACCTTAGTAGACGATGCACCAACATTAGTGGCCGCACCTTTCCGTGGTTAATAAGGCGGTCATATCTAAATGCAGCTAGCGATCCAAAATATAAATCTATTTTGAGCAATTTATTCTTTTACCAAAATAGGCATCATGTATAGGAAAGAAAGGTTACTCTAATTAAGAAACGTTTAACATTTCAGAACAATAAAATCATGCAGGGTACGGTATGCCCAAAAGTCGCCATCAAGTAGTAATGTTAGAGTTCAATCCGGCACCGATAACGATAAATCAAGTCGTTCTTCCGATGGGAGTTTTTTGGGAACAGTCTTTGCACGAGTCATAATAAACGAAGATGATAATAAATGTGTTTTGTTTCGTCTTTTCAATGGACGAGTGACCCATCTATACTGATGGCATAAAATACTCGTACGCCTCTCTCTTGAAAAGGGTCTCGATATAAAGCACGCTTTGTTTATCTGATGGTTTAATTTGGGCAACACGGTCCACATTATGATGTAATTAAGAACTTTAATTCAACATACACAGATTCAAGCTCAAACAAAAGACTTACCCACGTCAATGATTTCTTTCGTGGCCATATCATTGAGTAGTTTGTTGATGTATACATCTTTGGAGTCGTACAAGTAGTGCTCTCGGATCCCATAGTGGAAACGTTCCCAAGACTTGACTCTGTATAAAACACGGCAATACTATAATGATTTACTGTGTGTGTGCCTTTGTCTGCGCTTGGGTAAGTGTGTGAGTGTGTGAGTGTGTGAGTGTGGGAGTGTGTGTGTGTGTATGTGTGTTTTTGTGAGTGTATGAGAGAGAGAGAGAGAGAGAGTGTGTGTGTGTGTG